CCTCCAGCGCCGCGCGCGCCGCGTCCAGCCGCGCCGTGCGCTCGGCGTTGGCGGCGTGCAGGGCCGCCAGGCTGGCCCGCGCGCCCTCGCCCTCCTCGCGCGCCGCCGCCCTCCGCCGCGCCCCGGCCTCGCGCTCGGCCGCGGCCGCGCCGCGCTCCCGCGCCAGCGCCGCCAGCGAGGCGGCCAGCCCGTCCATGGCCGCCAGGCTGGACTGCACGAACGCGCAGTCGGCACGCAGCGCGCTCGCCGCGTGCGCCAGCCGCGTCGACTGCGACTCCTGCGCGGGGTGGGGGCGGGGCGCTCGGGGTGTGAGCACGAGTGTGGGATGGGGCGTCGCTGCGGGCAATGCACGGCGTGATGGGTGAGAGGGCCTTGCCTTCCGGGGCCGGGCCCCGCCAGCCCGGCGGGGCGTGGAGACATGCACCCGGCCATGCTGCTCACCGTCTCGCTCCCCCCCCCCCTCCCAGTCCGCCGGCTGCCTGCTTCCACGCCACTCCGGGCCCCCAACCTCCCCCTTCCCCCCCCTCACGACCCCTCACCTCCATCTGCACGCGCACGTCCTTGAGCACCGCCACAGCCTTGGCGCGGCAGACCCGGCGCAGGAGGTCCACGTCGGCGCGCACCCGCTCCGCGCCCGGCCCGCCCGCCGCCACCAGGCGCAGCGCGCGCGGGTTGGCGCGCCCCACCGCCACCTCGGCGGCCAGGGCCGAGTCGCGACGCTCGGCCACCTCCGCCGCCAGCGTGCGCACGCCCTGCGCCAGCTCGCCCGCGGCGGGGGCCACCACGCCCAGCAGGCGGTAGGCGCCGCGCAGGTCGGCGGGCGGCGCGTTGGGCGCCAGGTCCGCGTAGTTGATGCTGGTGCCGCGGCGCAGGTTGTCCAGGAAGCGCAGGTCCGTCAGCCGCGCAAAGTCCTGGAAGGTGATGGGCGCCGGCGAGGGCGGCGGCGGCGGGGACGGCGCGGGCGCGGCGCGCGGCGCGGACCGCGGGGCGCCGTCGCCGTGGGACGCGTCGATGCTGCGGGGCGTGCCGCTGCGGGCCCCCGCCGCGCCGGCGCCGGACCAGGAGGGCGTCGGCGCCCCGCCCGCGCGGCGGGACCCCAGCGCCGAGCCGGGGACGGAGGTCGCGGGCGTGCCGCGGGCCGAGGCTGCAGGGTCGCCGCCATCGCGCAGCGGCGTGCGCGCCAGGCGCGGGCCGCCGGGGATGCTGTGGGCGGACGACGGCGGCACGGGGGCCCCAGGGCCTGCGCTCAGGGGCCGAGCGCCGGGGCCCGCGCCCAGCGGCGTGGCCGACGCCGCGCGGGGCCGTGGCGCCGAGGCGGCGCGCCGGCCAGGGACGGACCCCGTACCCTCCCCGGCCACCGGCCAGCCGCCGCTCAGTGGCGTGCGCGGGAGCAGGGGCCCGCCGGGGATGGCGGCGGGCGCCTCGTGGTCGGTGCCCCCGCCCCACCCCCCGGCCGCAGCCTCGGGCGCCTCGCTGCCCGGCACCGCGCCTCGCCTCGCGGCCTCCAGGCCGCGCGCGGCCTGCCAGTGGCGCGTGACCGAGCCGGGGGGGAGGTCGTGGGGGGGGGTCGAAGCCGGACAGGCTGGGCTCCTGGTCGTCCAGCAGGGCAGCAGAGTCGTCCCGCAGCAAGGCAGCAGAGTCGTCCCGCAGCAGGGCCGCCGTGGCGCCCAGGCCGTCGGTCCCGGTGCCGGGGGCGGGGAGCCTCCTCCCCGGGGTTGCCGCTCCCAGCAGCAGGCGCGTGGTCCCCCCCGCCTGGAGCAGCGCGGCCGTGGCCGTGGCGACGCCCGGGGACAGGCCGGCCGACGCCCCCGGGCTGTCGGACACCGGCCCCCGCGCGTCGTCGTCGCCGCCCTGCACACCGGGCAGCGGGGAGGCGAAGCCCCCGACCGCGGCCTCCGGTGCTCCAACGCCACTCGCGTCCCGGGGAGCGCGGGCCAGCCGGGCCAGGCGGTCGTTCAGCCCCGCCAGGTCGGCCGCCGGCCCCGGGCTGGAAAGCGCGTCATCCGCCAGCAGACCTTCAGTCATCTCTCGCGCCAGGGCTGTGGAGGGTGGAAGGGAGGCTCGGGTTCGTGTGAGGGCCCCGGGGTCGGGTGGCTGCGGCGGCTGGGCGGCGGATGCCCCGCCCGGCGCCATGCATGCACAGGCCTGCCACCCCCCGACAGGAACAGCCCCCCCTTCCCCTCAGCCCGCCCTCTCACGCGCACCGGAGGCATCGCTGCGTCGCCGCAGCGCAGCGTGCGACAGGCTACGGGACGTGTCGTCCCGCCCGCCGTTGGCGGTCTCGTCGTCAAGCAGCAGCGCCCCGGTCATGTCGCCCTTTGGGGGGGAGGAGGGTGGCAGAGGTCAGAGCGGGTCAGCGATCCTGCACGCACCAAAGCCTCTCCATCACCACGTCCCTGGTCCTCACTGGCCTTTCATACTCCAAAGGAACAACCCAACAACTCCTCCCTTCCCTGTGAGAATAGCAAAGCCCCGCCCTCCACACCTGGCCCCGCTCACCTGCCCCACGCTGGTCCTGCGCGAGGTGATGCTCAGGCGGCGCTGCCCCGCCAGGGAGCTGCGCCGCGTGTCCAGTGACTGCAGCGTGCTCCCAGTCAGCTCGGGGCTGGTCACCAGGGCCGGGTGAGCCTGCGCACGGTCTCCTTCCTGTGTGTGAATCGGGCAAAGTGTGAGTCAGTCCTGGGTGCACATCGGAGGAGGAATGCGATGTGCCCCAACCAGATTTCCACACCAGTCCCAGCCCCAGCGCCTGCATGCCACCTGTCCTCCGCACCTGGGAGCCGGAGGCCATCATGTAGGGCGGCAGGAAGGCCGGGGCCGTCCACACGGGCTCGCTGGCGGGCACCTGGTCGTCCTGCATGGGCTCAAGGGCCCTGCGCTCCTCGGCGGTCGGGGAGACCTCCAGGGACCGAGGGTGCTCCGGGGGCGGGGAGCATGCAGGCTCGATGCTGTCCAGATCACTTTCCTCTGCCCGCCCGGCGCCGGCATCGAGGTCACGATCCGGGGCCGACAGTCCAGTGTTCCGCTCCGGTGAGAGGCCGCCCTGCTCACCGAGCCTTGCCCCGCCGTCCTGCTCGCCGAGCCGCTCTTCCTCCTCCTCGCCACCCTCCTCCTCTGCCCCGGCCTCCCCCTCTTCCAGGCTGGCGGCGCTCCCCGTGACGTCGCCGTAGAGGCGGCCGTAGGTGTGGTCGCCCATGATCATGCGCCCATGCAGCTCCAGGTTGAGATCCATGGTGTCCTCGCACCCAGGGTTGAAGCCCCACTTGGAGGCCAGGGCGGGGCCCTGCTCGTTCCCATCCTCGCTCAGGCCGGGAGAGGGCTGCACGCTCTCCTCTTCCTGGCCCTGGGCCCCGGATCCGCCTGCCAGGCCTGGGAAGGGGCAATGGGATCCCGTCAAGAGCAGGGGGCGCATCCCCAAGTCTCGACAGTTGCAGGCAGGGTGCACAAGATGGTGATGTAGGCACGCTGGTGCACCCACCAGAAGGTCCAACCCTGCAAAGATCCTCCCTGCCCGCCGGCAGCCCGCAAGCTCACCGTCGAGCAGCGTGACATCCATGTCTGCGCCGTCGGGCACCGGCCCAGCTTCCGGGGCTTGGGTCAGCGCGACCTCCTCGCGGGACTCATTGACGAGGGAGGACAGGCCCGGGACGGCGGCGGTGATGCTCTCCGTGGCATCCGGCTCGGAGGAGAGCAGATCGCCCAGAGAGGGCACGCTCGCCGTCACCTCATCTGCGGGCTGTGTCTCCCTCTGCCAGGGCTCTGTCAGCTCCATGCTGACGTCCATGGGGCTCGGGGGCGGGACCTCCGCAGTCACCGTGGCGGAGGGCTCCTGGTCCTCCCAGGGACCCTGCGGGATGTCTGGCACCCCAAACCTGCTCCGGCCGGGGGCGAGCTCGCCGCTGTTGTCCTCATCCTGTAGTGGTGGATGTGAGGTCATTTCGGAAGCCAGGGGGCAATTTGGTGTCAACGCTGTCGCATCTGGCGGAGGTGGCGGTGGAGGTTCGAAAAATCTGACGGCCCCCCCGCACCTTGTTGAAGAATTGGACAGAGGTCAGGGAGGGGGCGAAGCTGACGCGCCGTCTGTCTTTCGCCTTGCGCTTGGGCTGGAGACGGGTGGGGGTGCCATCGATGGCAGACATTCTCCGTTTTGCAGCAGCGGGGCGGGGCCGTCCCACCTCGTTGGGGTCGACGGATTCCTGGTCAGGATGCTCCATCGCAACGTGGTTGTGTTCCCGAGCGCTCGAGTACTTTTTGCATCCCTCGATGCGCAGCAGGGATCGTGTCGCTGGGCGATGTCGAGCTCGGGGAAAAGGAGCCCGGAGGTGCAGCTGTCTCGTAGATTGTAGCGTGCCCCGGGTCGAACGGCTCGATATGAATCCGAGCCGGGCGCGCTGGGCCAAAACCCCAACATGTCTTTAAGCAGAATATGGCAGTGGCCTGCGTGCGAACCCCGAAACGCATACCCTGCAACCTGCTGATGAAAGATCGCGTCATACATATTACTTGAAGCATTTGGAGGACTCCTTCGAGATTGGTTCTCGCACCACTGCTCTTCCCGAGAAGCACACCCTAGGCTCCCTGCACGAGCTGGAGCCTCGATGAAAAAGAACGCACCGGCGTTGGGGTATCAGCCCATCCCGAATCGCCCTGCATCTCCTCTGGACCGTCCAGGGGCTGCGGCTGCCCCTGCCCTAAATAGACGCCCAGCGCCACCCCAGCCAGCTGCATCCGGGGCGGAGCCCCGTCGGCCACAGAGGCTCGCGAATGTTGGATCCATAAAACCCATCGCGCCTGGCCAGGTACGGGTAGGCGGCAAGGGGATCAGAGACCAAGGATGCCAAGGCAGGGTGGAGTGAACCAGGGTTAACCTACCCCCCCTTGTCCCCACCCCTCCTGATCCATGAGTAGCCGGCACCCCCTGGGCGGAGTAGAGAGCGCTTCATCTCTCTGCCAGAGGAGCTGCAAACACCTGATGACCTGTCGCGGAGCCTACCTGCCGAGCACCCCACCATTTTTGAGGTGAGCGGGAGAGGCTGTGGAGGCCAGCAGTGGCGCTGGGGGCCAGGAGCCAGCCATAATGAGCTCCAGCCTCTTCTATGAGACAGGTTGTCGAGTGCTGTAGATCACTCTGACATGTTGCTTTCAACCTGCCCGCACAGCTCTTTTCACAGAACCTGTGCACTCTCGCCGACATGCAAGCTCCCCTTCGACCCTGCGGCCAGCCTCCCCAAACCCACCCTTTTCTAATCTGCGCGCAGGATCTGCCCGACGTGGATGGGCGGCCAGGTATGCGAGGGCGCATCACCATCTACTGCATTGCCGAGTCCCTGGACAGGAAGTCGCTGGAGCTGCGGCTGAGGGAGCGTGGGGGTGTGGCTCTGCTGCACACCTTTCCAGACGTCTTATATGGCCAGTATGAGGACTATGAGGTGAGGGGTGGGCCGGCATGTGGATCGTGATTATGGAAGCATCACCTCCTGGCTTGCATTGAGCTATGGCTTTCCTGCATCTGGTGGTCTGCATGGCTGGGAGGCAGGGGGCCATTGGCATGTGTGGGCCAGGTTTAGTCATTCTTGCTCCGACCCACTGTCTCTTGGAAACTCACCCAGTACCTCCACCCCGCCGAATCACAAAGGGCGACGAACTGGTGACGGGCGACGTCTTCTACTTTGACTACGGCGTCATCGTCTGCTGGGGCCTGTCCCAGGCTGCGGAGAGGGATGTGATTCGGAGCTTGGCCGGGCCAGCCCTGGTCGACCCCCTGTCCACCCAGGAGGTGGGTTTCAGCTTGGATTTTCTTATTGAAGAGCGGCACCGTGTGGCTGTAGAGGGAATCTCTCGAGTGTTGTCACACTGTCCTACTGTCTCTCCCCCCATCCCTCCACCCAGATCGAGGTTGATGAGTTCAACTTTCATTACACCGTGCACGAGAAGCCCCACATCCAGAACGACACCTTCACGAGTGAGTGGGTGATGGGGGTGGTGAGCGTGGGGTGGGCATGTTTCTCTGTTGCTGGGTGCCCAGGTTCTCTGATTCGGACCGCCTCCCCACTTCTGAAGCTGTTCGTCTCGCCTCCCATCCGCACCATCACCTCCTCCTCAAGCTCAACCTGCTCTTCTTCTGTACCCCACCCCACACACAACACCCCTCGCTCCCTTCCCTTGCTCAATTCAACTGCCCTCAGCACCCCAACACGACCGCCCCACACACACACACACAACCCCGCAGTCAACTACCGCCTGGCTAAAGACCACCTGCTGAAGCTGTCCATCAGCCACGCGCTGGCGCAGTCCACCAAGCTCACCGTGTACGAGGAGCGGGTGGTGGAGATCGTGGAGTCCACCCGCGAGCTGCCCGTCATCCTGGCCACCACGGGGTCGGTGCGGCTAGGCCGGCGCGAGATCGCACAGCTCATTGGCCGCGTGTTCCTGCAGAAGAGCGCGGTCAACCTGCTGTCCACCGTCTTGGACACGCCCGAGTTCTTCTGGTCCGCGCCCGATGCCATGCAGTCGCTGTACAAGCGCGTGTGCGACTACGTCGAGTACGACGCGCGGGTGGAGGTGCTGAACGCGCGCTTCCAGGTGCTGCAGGAGATGCTGGACATGCTGCGGGACCATCAGAACAACGGCCACGGCGCGCGCCTGGAGTGGATCGTCATCTGGCTCATCGTGGTGGAGGTGGTGGTGGGCCTGTTCGAGTGCGCCTCCATCCTGGGATGGGTGGGGTGACCCGAGGGCGGCTTGGGAGGCTGTACTCCTCCCTCTTTAGATTCCCGAGGATCATCTCCCACCCCTTCTCGCACCAACTGCAAATCTGTCCGTCATGTCATGTCACAAGGCAGCGGACATGAGCAGGCGTGGGGTGGCAGTGCAGGTTGGAACAAGGGTCGGGGACAAGTACAAAATTGAGGGCGGGCGACGGGGTTCGGCCCGCGCATGATGTGCCCTCAGAGAAACATGGGGCGGGGCACAGCACATCATGAGACAATGTTCATTTGTGGATGGCGCTATCGTTGGGGAGCAGTTTGTGCAAAGGGGAGGGGCTCCTTGCAAGGTGGAGGCCCTTGAGCATGGGCGAGGCAAAAAGTTGCAACTGTGTTGGTGAGTGAAGGGGAGTCTCAAGGGTAGTGTGGAGGAAAGGGGCCGACGACAGGAGGCGCAATGCGTCCCTCACACTTGGGTGTCGTCGCTGCAACTGGCCTGATGAACACCGGGGATGGAAATCCAGCAAGCAGCCCATGTGGGTGCGGGTGCCAACGGACCTCACACGATGCGGTCCATCCCAAATAACGCGCGAGCCGCGCCGCCGCAAGGGCCGACCTTCTCGGGGTGCACCGTCACGCCAGGAGCGGGCGAGGCGGTGCGAGCCCCGCGTCCACCGCGCGCGCCACGGCGCCGCCGCCTGCCGCGTCGCGCGGGGGCGGCACGGGGGCGCGCCACCGCTCCGACTCCTGGGCCAGCCCCGCGCGCAGCGTCAGGCCCTGCTGCACCAGCACTGCTAGCTGGTCGCCCGCCCACCAGGCCGCCACGCCGGGCGAGACGCCCAGCGAGTCGAGGCCGTGGCGCACGGCCTCCGCGCCCCACAGCACCTGGCCCAGGTCCAGGGGGAGTGCGGGGTGGGGGCGCGCCGCGCCGTGCGGCGCGTCGGCTGGGCGGGAGCCCGGCAAGTCCGCGGCGGCCGCCGCGTGCCCACCGCACGGCGGCGCCGCCGGCCGGGCGGCCCACAGCGCGTCCCAGGCCTCCAGCACGCCAGCAGCCGCTAGGCCAGCGTTGCCGTAGTCTGGGGGCGGGCACGGCGCCGCCGGTGCCGTGCCCTCCCCCGGTCCCGCCTCGCCGCGGGCCAGGAGGCCCAGAACGTGGTGTTCCGGCGCCGTCTCGCCGCGGCGCAGGCCGGCGAGCGGCGCAGGGGCTCGGGGTGGGGAGGCGTCCGCCCCGCCCCAGGCCCCGCCGGGGGACCACGCGGCGATGGCGCCGCCGGCCCCCGCGCTGCTGCTGCGCACGAGGCGCCTCGGCGGCGTGGGCGAGGCCTGCGGGCTGGTCCGCGCCGAGAGCGACCCGCTGGGGGCGCGCGGCCGGCGGGCAGGCGCGGCGTCGCTGGCGCCGGCGCCTGCGGCGTCGTCGGGGAGTCGGGGGTCGCCACGCGCCGCGGCGACAGCCAGGCCGGGAGCACGCGCGCCACCGCGCCGCCCGCGGCCGCCTCGAGGCCGGGCTGCTGCTGGGCCGCAGCGGGCGCCACCAGCCGGACGGGGTGAAGGGCGGCGGAGGGGGCGCTGAACAGGCGGTCAAAGGACTCCAGCTTGGGCGGGCGGCGCAACGGCGGCGCCGGCGCCGGCTGCGGAGCGGGGAGGCCAGCCAGGATCCATCCTCCAGCCGCCCCTCCCCACGGCCGGGGGGGAGAGCGACA